GTTTGTTTCTCGACCCCGTGGGGACCTTCCATTGACTTCCATTCATGTTTTTTAGACTTTATAGTCTAACCCTGACCATATACTCTAAAATTAAACTCACAGAAACTTACCTGACCCTAAAACTAACCTAAATCTTGGTCCTAAACCTAACCCCACAACTCTGAAACATGCTTTTGGACCCGTGGGGACCTGACATTTGTCCACACGATTCACTTCGGTCCCCACCTGGCTGCTTTTTTTTTTTTTTGTAAATAATACCTCACGTTGTAGGAAAAACACGTCCACACACACACACATGAACGCACACACACACAAGTTCGCCCAGCTATACATTTGGGGACATTCTATTGACTTCCATTACATTTCTACATCCTAACCCTGACCACAAACCCTAAGGCTAACCTCACAGGTACCTACCTACCTGACCCTAAAACTAACCTAAACTCAATTCACACCTTGGTCCTAAACCCAACCCCCAACCCACCAATGGCATTTAAACCAAACAGGGAATCAACTTAGGTCCCAAAATGCACCAGTTGTCCCCAAAGGTAGGCGTTTTGTTTTAAAATTGCCCCCAAATGTCACCAAAAACAAACCCACACACACACAAACCGCAGGTCAGACAGTCCCGTTCAGGAGCATTAACCCTTAAGGGCCCAGATTATAATCGGTCTTTAAAATGTGGTAAATAAATTATTTTCAGGAGGAAGGTTTTTGATAGTTGCATTTTCTAACTGTTGTATTGTATATCTACAAGAGTTAAAGTTCTTCTAGAGTTCTAATGATTATTAGAAAGTACATGATTTGAGTTTTTACTGATAATATTTTATTTAAAATGTTACAGAAGTCATAAGAAGCAGGCTTATTTTGAACAAACATTACAAACCTGTTCATTCCTACAAAACTCTCAAATATATTTACAAACAACACTAAACAGATTCAGATTAACATAAAATAAATCACGTTTTATAATTAAATGTCTGTTTCCTGCTATAAAGGAGAATCCTCCATCCATTCTGTCCATGTTCCCAATTAGGGTCAGAGTGGGGCTGGAGTCTGTCCTAGCTACCTTTGGTGAAGGCAGGGGACACCTGGACAGGTCTCCATTCTCCATCAGAGACACAAAAGAGACAAACAGCCATCCATACTCTGAAACCTTCTGGAGCTCTTCTGTGTGACTCTAGATGTGACAAACTGAGAACTCTGGACTCAGATCCATCTGGTGCTGCACAGAGTTCAAATCACTTAATATCAATAATAATTAAATAAAAAAACAATTATTGATAATCATCAGGAGGAGTCCTTAACCTTAGGATGTAGTTAGGCAATTAAATATTCATATTGTAAATTTATTATTATAATTGGTGAGTCATGTAAAATTATGTTTTTAAAAAACAGGTTCCTACCTCCCCCCGTCCCAAGACCAATTTCTTAGGGGAAACACTGGAATGGGTGTTCTAAAATGTAATTTCATTGTGCTCCAATATTGGCAATAAAGGCATCATCAATCAATCAATCAATCAATCAATCAATCAATCAATCAATCAATCAATCAATCAATCAATCAATCAATCAATCAATCAATCAATCAATCAATCAATCAATCAATCAATCAATTATTCATTCACACCATACCTCTAAACCTAACTAGTAAAGCACAGCAGAGCTGCAAACAAAGGGAGGACATTGAAGAGGTCCTCACTTTACATCGAAGACCTCACTTTGATAGTAACAATGGCACAAATGGTTCTCTTTCTGTATTAAAAACAAGTATATACACACACACACACACACGATTCATCACCATCCTCTGCAAGTTAAAAGCAGAAAACTACTATCTACCACAGATTCTGCACTCCTAATTAGTGTATTATTTTTATGTTCGGCCTGTGTTATCCAGTGCACAGCTGAAGTCAAAAATAAATCGCTGCTTGAAAATGAGTCATTTTGATGCACAGTCAAGCAGTGAAGTAACAGAGTGGCTGTGCAGCTCTCCTTGGAGATCAATTTGGTCAACAGAAACTTTGCACCACTCGAGGCTACACTTTTTACTCCACGGATCAAAAAAACATTTTTTTTTTCTTTTTTGGCACAGATCAGAGTGAGAAGCAGCACGGCAAACAAACAAACTGAGGCTTCGGCATGTTTTCATTATGTATATCAATGAAAAAGTCAGCACACGTAATAATGAAAGCAGTGAAACATTTATGCACTTGACTGTGTATGCTGAAGGTTGTTCACACAGATGAGAAGTCATTAAACTTTTCAAACAGATTCAAACCAGTAAACTGTAATGGGGAAGCTTTATTGGGCTGATAAAGCCAAACACAAACAGATCAACAAGAAGACCAAATAGAGAAATCATTTAATCCCTGAGCAGATGGAGATAATGACTGAGCTGAGTGAAATGATTTGATATATTAGATTTTTCAGAAAAAAAGTTGGTAAAACTGTAAAACGAGAATC